TTTCAAGTAGTTGCATTTATTCAGCTACTTATACATTTTATACAAATAAAAATCCGTGACGCCAAACACCTGTTTCTTATATTTTTTATGTAATCTATTTAGTATTATACAGTCCGAGATCAGGTTTGGCAGTCAAAAATATATATACCTAAAAGGATCTATACAAGAAGTCACTGGACGGCATTTAAAGGGACACTTAACATTGCATAGTTATATAATGCAATCTAAAAATATACTTATTTGCTATACAAACAACGCGTATTGATAAAATTCTTTCTCACACATACATGTATTTCACACACACACACACGCGCGCGCATTCTAAATGTACACAGATCACTTCCATACACTAATACACATAATATATCTATATATCTAAGTCTTCTGCATAGTGTACGAGAGGAAGAAATAGTTACAGCTTACTAAGTTCATTTCAAATTCAGTATTAAAATATATATATATATATGGAATGCATATATATTTTCTGAATATTCTTAAGAATGTGCATAAATACGACGTTGCAATATCACACTGTCAGACGAAGCTAAAAATCCTACAGAAAAACACACATAAGTGCCCTGAGAGTCATAACATTCAGTCCGAATTTTACTTACGAAAATTATCATATTAAAATCACATGCGTGCAATATCATACAAACATTCCAAAATCCTTTCAATGAACATACTTAACTTTCCATGTATGTCGACACTATTACTTGAAAAAATATACTGGCTTACTATATTTGATATGTAAAAGTACAATCCTGGGGGTATATAAAACGGATTCCATATCTAAAAAATAGTTTACCCTTAAAGGGAACAAGACATCGTGGTCCATGATAAAATTTTCACAAGTATACCCTCTTCAGAAATACGTTTTCTTTTACATGTGATTGGAGTATCCGCTGCCGTTGGAGTAAGGGGGAGGCACGTCCTCTGCTGGCACTGTTGGGTAGATCTGAAGAAAAAGAAAATGGGCGTTACTGTGTGGATCATGCTATAAGGGTTGGAGTTTTGAAATGACAGAATGAGGAGAAAGATAATGTAGCATAAAGATTAACTACCAAAGACAAAAAATATAAATACAAATACAAAAACAAAAAACAAAAAGATAAAGAGATCCCACACCAGCGTAAGGGATTAATTAACCAATGTAAATCGGTTGTGAATAAACACAAACTGGAAATAAGTAATAAACAAACAAAGGATGATGAAAATGAACCATACAGAAAATAACAGTGCAAATTCCGAAACCAAAAGCTTACCTTTGCCGCCCCTTCCTGGTATCCCTCGTTGTCGTAGGTGTACCTGAAGACGCCCTCGGGATGTCCCTTGTTGGCGGCGCCCTTCGCCTCCCTCATCTGGCGAATGTGGTGCGGGCAGAAGTCGGGCGACGCCCTGACCAGATCCATGCCCCTCTTGTCGCCCTTCCACACGGCGTAGATGGCGCCCAGAGGAATGAACACGATGGAGCACACGCAGATGAACCAGCCGAGGGTCTGGATGTGGCCTGGGTACGTGTAGTCGCCCCAGTAGGCCGGCACGAAGAAGTAGATCGACAAGATGAAGATGATCTGCGGCGGAGAGACCGATATGAGACTGGGCCGAAGAGGAAACGGGAGGACGACGGGAAGGGAAAAGGAAATGGGGAGGAAGCGGAAAAGGGGGAAGAGAAGAGCAGCGTTGGACATGGGTAACAGGAGCGGGCTAAAGGAAATGGGGATAAAGAGAAAAGGGGGGGTTGGAAATGGGAATGACGTCGGAATACATGGAGAAAGGGAAAAGGGGCAATGGAATTAGGGGGAAGGACAGGGAGATAAGGCTTCAGAAGAGTGATAAACTCAGGAGGAGGGAAGAGATTATAAAACTGGTATGGAGCAAGGGAGAAAAGGGTACTCGAAAGTTGTATATACCAAAAGAAAAAGAATATTCATGTACCAAAAACTTTCCTAATATCTTTATATTTCTCGTGTTTTACATATTATCATTACTTTTTATAATTCACACAATACTTTGAAAATAAACTTACCAGAAGAGACACAGGTGTGACAAAGAGCCAAGTTGCCGCCCAGTATCCGTAAAGTGGCAAAGGGATGTATATGCCCATTTCTTCACGAATGTTTCTCATGAAGTTTTTGAAACCTGCGAGAAAGAAAAAGGGTCCGTTACAACCTGGAAAGTGTGTTCCTGGCCGTTTGATTCATCCGCTGGTTTCGTATGCATTTGTGCTTGATGTACGTGTAAATACACGTGTAAATACACGTGTAAATACACGTGTAAATACACGTGTAAATACACGTGTAAATACACGTGTAAATACACGTGTAAATACACGTGTAAATACACGTGTAAATACACGTGTAAATACACGTGTAAATACAAGTGTAAATACAAGTGTAAATGTGGGTATAAACGCACATGTAAATGTGAGTTTAAATGTACATGAAAATGTATGTGTCGGTCTGTGTGTGCGTGTGCGTGTGCGTGTGCGTGTGCGTGTGCGTGTGCGTGTGCGTGCGCATGTGCGTGTGCGTGCGCATGTGCGTGTGCGTGTAATAGAAGTACGTGTGCGCGTGTATATAAGCGCACTTCCCGCGCAAAATCCTCAACCAAATAACTTTTTTGTTAATAAAGCACAAATGAACAAAAACGCAAGCAAGGTCCCGGGAGGAGGCTCACCGTAGATGTACTGCACCACCACGATCTCCGTAATGGCCAGGATGATGACGGACAGGCCGGCCGAGTACCAGTTGAACAGCTCGAACATGTAAATGCCGCCCTCGAGGCACATCGTCAGCCCCGCCAGGAACAGGCCGAGGCACACGCTGCCCACCACCAGGGGCTTCCTCGACCGCAGGGACTCGAACTGATCGAAGAGGGCGGTGCTCAGCGTCTCCACCATCGTGAACTGCGGGAGGAGGGAGGTTGAGGAGGGAGGTTGAGGAGGGCGTGAGTGAGGGAGAAGGGGGGGGGGGTTATAGATGGCAACCGGGAACCATTTCTTTGTTAAATTAATTTAGATGTGTTTACAGTACATCAGTGATTGTAATCACATTTTACATTCATTTTACTGTATAATACTAACACGCATATGCACCCGAAGGCACACAACCGGCTCTAGAGAGTATAGAGGAAGGACGAGGATAAGAACAACATGAAGAGAAGGAACAGGAAGAACAGCAACAAAGAGAAAAAAGAGAATGAATGAGGAGGACGTCTCACCTGCGAGTCGAGTCCGAGCGTGATCAACATGGCGAAGAAGAGGATGGCCCAGAGGGGAGGCACGGGCATGCGCGTCACGGCGGCCGGGTACACGACGAAGGCCAGGCCGGAGCCCGAAGACACGACGTCCTGCACCTCCACGCCCAGCTCCGTCGCCAGGAAGCCCAGGATGCTGAAGATGACGAAGCCGGCGAACACGGACGTCGAGCAGTTGGCGAAGGCGATGATGATGGCATCTCTGAAGGGGGGGGGGGTCGTTTGAATCTTTTTATCTTTTGCGTGATGATGCATGAGTGTGCGGTTTATGAATAAAAGATTTGTTTCAAAGTTAATGGTTTTATTCTCAGAAATTTCAGAAAGCGGAAGACTCACACTACCCAATCTAAAACAAGAACATGTCAGCACGCCGCAAGAAACAATCACGTCTTTCCAGCCACCTCTCAGTGACATCTCTTACCTCATGCAGTTATTCTTGAACTTGTTGTAGGAGGCGAGGGTGATGAGGCCTCCGAAGGACGACCCGAGCGAGTAGAAGATCTGCGTGGCGGCGTCGTTCCACACCTCAATGGCGCCCAGGCGGGAGATGTCGGGGCGCAGCAGGTAGAACTCCACGCCCTTGTAGGCGCCCTCGAGAGTCACGCCTGCGCGATAGGATTCGGTTAAACAGAGGACTGGAGATCGGGCTGGATTAAAGGGGGCATTTCTTTTGCAATATGTCATCAGTATTAGTATTCTTGCTGACGCATTATCAAAGCTGTCTGAACATGTTCTGCTATGGAATTAAACCTCTACTGTCAGTGTTCTTATACCTCGGACCTTCTTTACCTAGGCTGTTAATGATACAGACAGCATTTGCCATGAAATCCGAGTTTTTGTAATATTCCTCAGTGTTCTTAAATTCCACGTGTTTCCTCCTTGTTTACATTCCGAAATTAAACAACCATGCAAACCACGATCAACATCCGTAATAAAAGAAAGGAGAACTTCCATGATAGTAGTTCGTCATGATAGTTTGCGTCCAGCCAATAGATAGCAGGATGAAATCCTCTGTTTAAATGGGCAAGATTTTAAGTCATTGTTCATGTAACGTACCACCCATATACCCAAATGCAGGGAAGATATTAATAAAAGTAAACGTGATAAGCGAGAAAGTCACAGTCTAGTGTTTCAGTTCAAAGGATGGCTCTATTTACGGTTGGAGGATGAGCCCTTGTTTAATGTCAGTTATGGGAAACTTTTTACCTTTCAAATGGACGGAAATTGTTGGTTCGAGGTAACCCTTGAAAAATATTTTCTTTGATTCTATAAGGTTGGATTTTATTTTCATCTCAAACTTTAGCATTGGAGTTCCCACAGTCTAATGCACAAGCTGAAGGCATTATAAAAGAAGAGGAGGAAATATTGTCACAGCCATTCCCTGCTTCTTACGATTTCCAAGAAAGCCTGCGCTACACAAAATGGTTTGCGGAAGGAACATTCTTAAAAAAATAATAATAATGATATATTTGCACACGTTGCCTCGGACTTGAAAGACCCTCAGTTTTTATTAAACTGTGTATGTATATATGTTTGCATACATATTTCTTTTACAGTAAGACAGAAGGACTTACCCCTGATGAAGAGGATGACCAACACGACGTAGGGGAAGAGGGCGGTGAAGTAGACGACCTTCCCCGAGCTCTTCACGCCCTTGGCCAGACACGCGCCCACGATCACCCACGCCAGCGCCAGGCAGCCCACCAGCTCCCAGCGCATGCCGCCCATGTTTTCCCAAGTGGCGTCCGTCACACCCAACATGCGGTTCCTGCAGGACAGGGAGGGGAAGGTGGGTTAAGACAAGATCGAATTCAGATGTCGAGGTCCACGAGCAAATAAATAAAATTAAGGATTGTGCACTATTTTTACGTTTGCACTTTACACTACATGCTGACACATATAGTGTAAAAGTGCCTAAAAATGCCATATGTAGAGTTTTAACGAGTCATACATGAAGTACTCATGATATACAAAAGCGCTAAACCATGAATTATGTGGCATGACTAGCAACAATTCGTCGCACTGCATTGCACCGCAGCGCAGGATAATAAACAACAGCTCAAAATATATATCTGTCAGCCCACAGAGGTGTACATGTCTTACATTCTGAAAATTTCGGTGAAAATCACACAAAGTAAAATTACCTTTTTGATATAAGAACCAAATGAGAAAAATATGGTGTATCAAGTAGGAAAACGGTCTCCTTTCTTTTCTCAAATAAAAACGAAAAACTAAAGGTTGCCATAAGTAGAAAAAAATCAAGAGAAAGAAAGAAAAACAGACAGATATGGAGACAGACAAGAGAGAAACGGCCTTGAGCCTCACTTGAAATAATCCTCGCTGGCGGAGATCCTGGGCACGGCGCCCTCGGCCTTCTTGATGTCGCCGGTGACCGGGTTTTCGCAGTAGGTTTCGTTGTGCATGGTAAGGTTGCCCACACCGCAGTAGCTGCTGATGTCGATGCAGGTCTTGTTGTAGTAGAAGAGGGACTGGTTGCGGCAGCTGGCGGCGGCGTCCTCAGTGAAGCACTCTGAAAAGAGGGTGGCGTGTGGAGGTTACTAAGAACACAAATATCGACGAATTCTATGGTGGTCTTTCTGTTGCTGCTTTTGTCATTATCACAGGAACAAGTAGCAGTGATAAGTTTACAGTGATGTATTACTAGCATTGCGATCATTACTAATCACAAGTAAAATAACGTAAATTTCTATCTTTACTTTCGCTTGCACTATGACCACAAGTATAACAACCTGATCTTTTCCCTGACACAGAATATTAAAGATAAAGAACCTAAATGCACATCAAGCCAAAAAAAAGATCGCAGACACTACTATTGCATAACTTGCTACTCTAACGGCTAATAATAATAATACTAATAGCAATAATAAGCAAATACCAACACAAACTTGTATTGCTCTTCCAAGACCGTCCACACTCACCGATGGAGTTGAAGGCGTTGTCGCAGTGTCCCCAGGGCAGGACGCTGGTGAAGGAGGCGAAGGTGTAGAACAGAGTCCACGCGAGGATGAGGTTGTAGTAGATGGCCACGAGCGCCGAAACCACAATCATTCCCCATCCGAGACCTGTGGGGGGAGGGAGGTGGGGGGGATTCGGTCTTAGTTTGCACCGATTGATTGACTGACTGACTGATTCACTTATTCGTATGGGTGATATGGTGACTAATGTGGCATCGTGCTACTCCCATTCTATCCTGACTATGACAACAACCATTAGCATAACTATATTCATATCTGGTTACGTTTTTTCTTCTGAAAGATGAGTGTATTATGTTACAATTACATCACTTTCTTATATGTCTGTATATACAAACCTTACGAAGTTAATCTACATGTATTTACATATAGCCGAACAATCCAGCGAACAGTTAAAATATCCCCTTACAACCACATTACAAATCCTTCCAAAAATCACAAAATCAATAAAGTTTTAAAGATCAAAGCAAATGCGAACAGAAACTTACCCGAGAAAATGGGAGCCAGCTTCGGGAAGAGGATGTTGGGGCCCAGACTGACGTACTGTCCGAGGGCGAGCTCCATGAAGAACAGAGGGAGGCCGGCGCACAGCAACATGATCACGTACGGAATCAGGAAAGCGGCTGTGGAGGTACGAATGAATGGATAAATTGAGGTAATAAATCAAGGAGAGAAGGCATAAATATTAGAGGAATTAAATTAGTTACTGAGTAAATGAATCGAGGAATTATTTGGGCAAAGGAAGAAAAATGCTTTCTTAATCAAATATAAAAATTAACAATAATACCAATAAAAATGACATACAACATTTAATTACAAAGTGAATTCAGAATATTTCACACACATTCATACAAAACAAAACATAAAAAAAAAACCAAAGCGTGAACAATGAACACCAACATATCTGAAGCGCGACATGACATTACATTCACACGGTAAAGGAATGAAGCCCTGTTGCCAAAATAAGCATTGCGTCACTTCAATTCACCGCCGTTTTCCCGGTAATTATTACAAGGTCGTTCGTTCAGGAAGAATGATGCGGAGGAGCTCTCGCTACCGTTCTTTTAGCGTGAGTGTTTGATAATTTCGGTGTCCTTAAGAGTCCTTCAGTCGGTTGGCCGTTCTTTTACCCTCTCACACCCACAGCAAAGGCCGTTTTTGGGAGACGGTCAAACAGGTATTTCCCACCGACGCTCACCCTGTGCCCCCCCCCCCCTTATACCCAGTCTTTCCCCTGAGCCACTTCCCGTCGCCGTTCTCGCCGCCTATCCCTCTCCCCCTTATGCCCAGGACAAAGCCGTTCCCTTGAGCCACTCCGCGCGCACTCCCCGCCGCCGTTCTCGCCGCCCCTCCCCCTCCCCCCTACTGCCACGCCCCGCGCACTCACCGCCGCCGTTCTTGTAGCAGAGGTAAGGGAACCTCCACACGTTGCCGAAGCCGACGGCGTAGCCCAGGCACGACAGGAAGAACTCGCACTGGTTCCCCCACGTCCCGCGCTCCTCCTCGGCGTCCAGGGCCTCCGTCGAGCCAACGTCCTTCTTGTCCTCCTTCCCCATGGTGCTGCAGGAGGGGAAGGCAGAATTAGAAATAGGGTGGAAGAGGAAGGGAGGGGGAGGGAGGTAGACGTAAAGGTAGGATAAGGAGAGAGGGAGGGGGAGGGGAGAGGGAGGAGAGGAAGCTAGAGGGGGAGGGAAGGGCGGGAGTAGGGAGTGGTAGAGGGAGAGGAGGGGGGGGGGTTGGAATACAAAAGAAAAGACAGGACCATGAATAGTAATACTTGAAAAAAATATGTGCAAGAATATGAACAAGTTTACGAATTCAAGGAAATAAAGAATGATAGTAGTATAAATAACTAAAAAGGATTAGGAACTAATTCACAGCAGGAGAAAACTACAGCAGCTTGATTTGGTAACAAGAAAAACAGAATGAGAATACAAGCCCTGAAATTAACTATATTAATATAAAAATTAATAACAACAACAACAATAATAATAATAATAATAATAATAACAATTATAATAATAATCAAAGCAATGATGATTTCATCGGCAGTACTATCAATTGTACTAAAAATATAAATAACATTTTCCTAGATAATAGTTTCCTAATAAACACGCTGAAGAAATGTGTAATAATCAGTTTGATATAAACTGATAACGACCTATGATTAAAATAAGGATAAAACTATAATAACAATAAAGCGTCAAACAAACAAACAAACAAGTAAACAAATACAGAACTAGCGTAATAAGACACTGCTAAATGTGTTACACACGTAAAACTCCAGCAATGTGAAAATACAAAAAAAAAGCGCGAAAAATGACGGAAGACGACAATGCGAGATATGAGAACATCCACTAAAAAGATATGGAAAAAATACACTTACGTAACAAAGACGACAAAAAAGAAGTTACCCAATAAGCCAGGTACAAACGAAGAACACCACACGTAGAAACAAAAACACAAAAAAAAGCAACTCAAAGAAATCAAACACGCACACAAACACAAGAGAGACTAGCGTGGAGAACAGCTGTTTCCCTTTCTTATTGGCGTGTGAAGTTCAGACCACACTTATCTGCACTGATAACTTCTCCCGGTCGCGTCCCGGTTCTCACTAATTCTCGCCGGCGTCTTCAGCCACTGAGGTGACGTCTTGACCCTCTGGAGCTCTTCCTTAACCGAGAATTCATTGCTAATCTGGAGCAACTTTGCCTTGGGTTGCAATACGTTGTCGATTTTTTTAATGATCTTGTAAAATCTGGAGTCACCACCAAGGATGTAGCTTAGCAATTACAATTTAGAAACTTAGTAATAGGCATGATTTAAAAATCAAAATATTTACTAAATAAAAAGCAGTATTTCCTGAAAACCGGGATGTGGGTCACATCTAAACATCCTTATTAAAGGGGCTTAGAACTTTCCCACTTTTTGTTCAGAGTAAAAACGAAGACTAGAGATTCTTCACTATATTCTGGATATTTGAAGGAGTTATCCGCCTATTTCCCTTTCCTTAAGGACCGAAGAGAAGCAGCATTAGAAACAGGAATATATAAAATTCAAATTAATGGAGATCATCCGGTGTTTAGTAATAAAAGAGTAATTAAATGATGCGCAAAATACGACTCATCCGGGAGATTTCAACGCGGCATTAGCGACCAATCCAAGGCGGGATTATTTTTCTTCTTTTTCCCCTCCTTCCCCTCCTCCTGTTGCTAATCATACCCCTTCCTCTCTTATCTTCTGTGTCTGCCTGTCGTCGTCGTCGTCGTCGTCGTCGGCCTTGGCTACATATTACATTTATCACTCAACTGAGATTCCTATCTGAATATAAATGTCAACGAGAATACTAGCAAGAAACGATAAACCCAACTCTTCAAGTCTTTCGAAATCCAAGTCCTACTTGTCATTTTCCTCTTCCGTTTTCTTCCGCGTTAGATCCGGAGACTAAACGACCTTTGAGAGAATTAGGGAAGGTAACCTGAAAGTCATGTTACCTCGAGTTTCCTCCCAACACGCAACGTAGCAATAGATTATGGGGGGAGGGGTAGGGGAGGGGGAAATGAAGGGGGAGAGAGGGAGACGAAGATTGGTTTAGACAGGTAAATATTCTAAATATAATGTAACTCATTCGTCAGGGGATGTAGAACGATGTTTTTTGTGCCCCACTTTGAAGATAAAAAAGAAAAAAAAAAATTAAGTGAATTTCATCGACACACCAATACTAGAACACCTCATCCCTTAACATAAAC